CAGCGGCTGGCGGGGGAGGGCCCGGCACCTGTTTCCCGGCAGCAGGCATTGGGAACACGGACCTGCGGGCGGCACAGAGCGCAGCTTCCTAACTGGCTTCTGACGCCCACGGGTGAGGGGACAAGTGGGCAGGGGAGCTCTGAGGATGGGGTGGGAGGGGGTTAGAGAAAGGCCCCCCCCCACGCGTGGGAGCTCTCAGCCTGCACAGAGGGAGGCTGGCCACGCCCAGGCTGGCAGAGCTGGGCACACGCCTGAGTCGCGGGCCAGCCCGGGAGGTGCGGCGTCAGCAGGGAACACCGGCTCCCAGGACGGAGGGAGGGAGGGCGGCTGGACGTTTGCTGATAGTGATCGGCTTCCTGGAGACTTGAGAGTTCAGCCCCGGGCCCGGCCGGCGTGCTCAGTGGTGAGCGTCGACCTAGGAACCAGGAGGTCAGGGTTCAATTTCAGGTCAGGGCACAGGCCCGGGTTGCAGGCTCCATCCCCAGTGGGGAGCGTGCAGGAGGCAGCCGGTCCATGGTTCTCTCTCATCATGGATGTTTCTCTCTCTCTCCCTCTCCCTTCCTCTCTGAAATCAATAAAAATATATTTTTTTAAAAGAAAGGATTTCAGGCCCGGGCAGAGCCCAGCCTCTGTGTGTTGAGAGACGCTGTCCCGAGGCCGCGCCCAGCGAGGGGACGTGTGAGGAGCTGGTACTGAGGAATGGGCAGCAGCCTCCCCCTCGTCTGGGGAGTGAAGAGACCGGGGCCCCGGGAGGGCTTTGGAGTGAAGAACCAGCCCAGGCAGGTGGGGGGTCCTGGGAGGCCCCGTTCCTCTCGGCCTCCCCCCCACTCTCTCCCGGCGCCCAGGCCTGGAGCGGGGTGCGCAGGGGACCGGAGACCCGGCTCCATCTGCCGACAGCCGCGCTATAAACACCCATCTCATCGGAGACTCGCTTGTATTTCATAGGAAGGGAATCTCGTTCTCTTCATCTGGAGCAATTACATGTAAATACCTCATGTCATCTGCTCTTGACAGGCCAGCGGGATTGCAGGGCGCCGGTTACCGTGGCAACGGGCAGAGCTGGTGCTATTGAGCGTTAGCCTGTCAGTCCGTGGAGGGAAAGTGAATGTCTGTGTCGGGAGGGGCGGGGCTGGGGTTTGTTTACAGGTCACTCAGCGTGGGCGCAGCGGGCG